TGGGGGCGATATGCTGACTCTGTAAACCGCTTAGAGAGGGCTGAAAGCCCTATGAAGCGGTATATAAGTCTAACTGCTATTGCTATTGCTATTAGTAATCATAAATGCCAAAGTCAAACAGATTCACATTTATCAGTCCAAATTAGCTATGAAATGACCAGCTGGAACAACTGAAAAGATTGAATGGGTATTTTGGTCTTCCATCACATACAGAACAGAAACATGATCAACTTTTCTCCATACAAAAACCAGGCATGTTCATTCTGTTAGTTATCTGTGAGGCCATTAACTTTTTGTTTGTTCATTTCTCTGAAACCTCTTCAGATCATTTTTCAGGAAACTACTAGTTCAAGGGAATTCAGTGAGGATTCCTAATTGGCCTTTGTTAAAATTCAAAAAAATTTTTAACACAAACAAAAATGATACATTACCTTGTAGCAACTGCTGAATGCTTTCATTTCCCATCTGAGAGGCTGTGAAACCCTGCAGTGATATAATGGAGGGATCACAGCCACAACTCAACAACAACCGGCATGTCTGTAAGTGGCCACAGTGTGCTGCTCTATGCAAAGATGTCTGGCCAAGATTATCCAAAGCATTGACCTAAAAATTATCAGAGAATCTTAACAAAGCAGGAAGCACGGAGTATGGTATCTGGTTCTTTAGAGCAATTCATAATGGAACAATAGAGAACTGTCTTATTTTTTTTTTAAAAAACAAGAATACCAAAAGGCAGCAAGTATTTTAAGGTTGAACAGCCTCTCCAAAGTCATAGAATCTTCTTTGACCTCAAACAGTACATTCCATATGTACTGCAAGTAGTACAATCTTGAAATAATCTATTATAACTTTTGTCTCAAAATCTGAAACAGACATTCTGAGGATATTCAATGAAATGTTTTGCACATCTCTGCTGACTATATTAATATCCAAAATTGCTGTTCCTACCATCATCTGACGATTCCTACAGGAATGACTGGCTATCAAATCCCCAAAATATCATTTAAATATTGTTAAGCACCTTTCTCAAAGATTAATTATACACATTTATAAACGAACATGGCATTCTTTTCATTTTGCCCCAAAATATGACTGATTTATGCTAAAAATGATTCATACCTTTGCTTCATGCTTCACAACTACTTCAATAACATCATTATGGGCTTTTTCTGATGCCACATGAAGAGGTGTCAGGAAGCTTTATAAAAACAAAAAAAAAGTCATAATTTATTTCCATTTTGTTCTTGCTGAATGAGTTTTCAGAATGCTGAGAATTAGTACAGTTGTGATGGGAGTTAAAATAAACACAATGCCTGTTGGCATTCTTTGACACTCCTTTGGCAGCCAATACTTCCTTGCACATCTCAAATATTTTTGGCAACTCAATAGCAAACTGAATTCAGGTTTCTTGCTCTGTCTCTCTCTAAGGCGCTCCAAACTTATATAGTAAAGGCCCAGACCTTTAGTTGAAAGAAAAGGATTAGACAGTGGGAAGCTATCCATTTTTAGATACACCTTCCTCTCTCACTGGAAGGAATGGTTTAAAAGGACGTAAAAGATGCTGTAATGTATGTCTGGGTTGCAAATAGGATCTAAGGGGTAGCAGAAAAGGTAAGAGCAAGTGAAGAGTAACAAGGTTCAGTAATTAAGATGTTGATCACAGAAGCTCACTGGATAATTTTAAGACAATCACTCACTCCCAATCCAAGCTGTGAGAATAAAATATAGATCCCATATAAGCTGCCTTGAATTCCTAGAGAAAAGGCAGCATATAACTGTAACAATAAAAGAAACCATATATCTATGTGCTTGTATATACCAAAGAAAAAACAACATTCACAGACATTAATCTGAGGGAAAGGGTAAGTAATTGGGGATAATTCTAAATTTTAAAATTAAAATTAGTTCTAAAAAGTTATTTACAGGCAATGAAGATAAATGTATTTGCTTTTCTGTGAAATAAACATTTCTATAGTGTAGTAAATTGTGAATTCAAAGAGCACTTTTCAAGAAATAGTATTTCATTGCAGTAAGAGATTGAGATTTGTTTTATTTATATGCCGCCCTATTCCCTGCGGGACTCAGGGCGGTGAACAACTCAAACGGGAAAGGGAACACACAAGTACAAGACAAGCATTTAAAATAGCCAACAACCACACAAGTCGAGAGGGGAAGGGAGCTCATCAACCCGAGGCCTGCCGACACAGCCAGGTTTTAACGGCTTTCCGGAAGGCCTGGAGAGAGGTGAGGGTCCGAATCTCTGCGGGGACCTCGTTCCAAAGGGCCGGAGCTGCCACAGAGAAGCAGACATCTTGATTGATTGATTGATTGA